TATATGAAAAACGGAGATTTTTTTTTTTGAAGTGGACGATAATAATTTTATTCGTGTAACGTTTATATTGAATGACATTTGATTAATATTAATAATGATAATAATAATCCTTATAATAACATTTGTCTATGGTTAAACGAATCATTGTTACGCGGCTAATAGAAATAAATTATATATAAATTATATAAATTATTAAAATATAAATATAACATGTAAATAATATATTATAATAACTTATACATAAGGTTGTGCATTAGAAAATTTTCCTGATGTTGTTTACGTGTTGAGTAATTGCTTTTATAGGCGAGGACTTTGGTAATGAAATATTCTCATTGCAAAAGAAAAAGAGATGAAATTTCTGAAATCTTTTTTTCGACATTTTTTTCATCTTAAAAGTTTTTCATTTTTTCATGTTTGATTATATCATATAGTATTAAGAATATGTAAGTATAAAATAAGACGAGTTATAAACCGATTATAGCCTACATTTCTTTTATTAGCCATATTTTTACTGTTTTATCTTGAAAAAGAAAATTTTATAACAAATAGATATTTTTGGATTCGCGCACGTTTGTACAAACATTTTTGGGGTATTATTATTATCTATCAATAAAGCATACGGCATCTTAGCGTGCGACATTCTCGTTAGACCGTCCTAGGAAATGTCCCAATAAATGATAATAATAATAATAATAATAATAATAATAATGATAATAATTTTGTCCCTCGTGACATCTATTTTTTTGATTCTCGATTCAACAACTTCCCACACAAACAAAAAATAATTCAACGAATATGATGTCGACTAAAGAAAATTTGAAATTCAGTAATAGTAATAGTAATAAAAATAATAATAAAAAAAGCAGTGTTGAAAATATTAATAATAATCGCAATAGCAATAATAATAATACCAATAATAATATCCAAAATTTAGAAAATGCAAAACAAAAGCGTAACTTTGCAACAAATTTTTTGTACAAGCTTACCGAAATAGCAGCATATACTTCTGCAGTAGTTTCAGAAGCATACCAAATATTTGATAAAGCCTTAAGGGCAGGTGAAGACGATAATGGTAATAACTCATTTTATGATATGTATGATGATGATAATGTATTGGTAATTGTGGATGGCTATGAAACAGATTTAAATGATGATGAGTTGAGTGATAGTGAACTTGAAGATAATAATAAATCTACAATCAATAAAATTAAAATCAATAATATTAATAAAAATAATGGTCATAACATACATCATAAACATAACAGAAAAGTTTCTTGCTCTTGGTCAGTTAATGAAGAAGATGAACCACCACCACCTTATGATAGTTCTTGGACTATAGTTAGTTTATTGATTTCCCATTTTCCTTTTTAATATTTAAATATGCCTTTTAATAATAAAATCAACTCAAAATTATAATATAATAATATTTATAAATTAATTTTCCTTAGCCTGCAACATCAACAGACAAAATTTCAACATCACCCAAAAAAAAATCATTTTCAACTCCTAAAAATGAAGATCAATCAAAAGGTACTTCTTCTATCCCTGCTACACCAACACATCGTAGGCAAATTCGTGTACGTCGTGGTCGACGATTATTTAGACGAAGAGCTTCTTCTAATGAACTTAAAAGCAAACAGAGAACGAATGATGGAGACAGTGAATGCACAAACCAAGATGAATTGTTACTTAGAATTAACCAAAAATTGTCAGATATGATAGCTCAAGGTAAAGCAGCATTGACCAGTACTGTTGAGGTAACTGAAGTTGAAATGATGCTCATAGAAGAAAGAGAACGTGAAGAAAGAATAATGAGGGAACTTGGACTTCAAACACCTGTTGGACGTCATAACAGAAGATTTACTAATTCATCATCTTCGGGCTATGGCTCTTTGTCTGATTCTAGCAGTTATTCTGCATCAGAAACATCTTATTGTGAATATGGTTATGGTTCTAATAATAGGTTTGCCTCATCAACAGGATATGATCCTCCCTTAAGATATGGGTCAACAGCTCATTATAATTCATCCATAACTTATGGTTCACCTGGAATATATTCTTCATCTGTAGGCTATAACAATAGTAACAACAATAACAATCATCGTCATCATCATAATCATCATTCATTTGAAGATTATAACATGTTAGGCAGTAAATCTTCGAATGAATTTTCCAGTCCAATCCCAAGTAGATACCATGAAATACCACCATCACAAATACAGTCAATACAATCAATCCCACAATTTGCTTATAATAATTTGATTCCAAATAGATATAACGTTGCTTTATCAACTGGTTATGCTAACTCGCCATTACCATTGCCATCACAATCAGCACCATCATCATCAATGGGAAATTTTGTTCATAACCAAGTAGGAGGAGATTTTGGATTGAGTTCCGGTCGCTTTATGAATAGATATAGAGCAAATTCCCAATATGGTTCTGGTGAAATGTTTAATAATAATAATAATAATAATAATCATGAGAGAGATATATAATAAATATAGTGAATATTGTAATAGATCTTTAATATTTCTTTAGATTTCTTTGGATTAAAAGAGAATCGTTTATTAGGTATTGATTGGTGTGAAGTGAAAAAAAAAATCCATTTCAAAAAATTTTTTTAATGGGCAATGAAGTTAGTCTTTATTTGTAGTTATGTTTTTTTTATTTTAAATCAAAAAATTATTTTTACTAATAATCTCTTTTTTTAATTTTAAAAAAAGAAAATTTTTTTGTAAATATTATTTTAAAAATCCACCCCCTCGCTTAATATTGTAAATTATCCAAAATTTTTAGATTCAATGCTTTTTTTATTTGCTTTCCTTGTCTCCTTTACATTTTACATTATTTTATAAATTTCCCTACTCTTTTTTATTACTTGTTATATTTCATGATGATAAATAAAAAATTTGCTATTATACAAATAATAATGTTGAGAGAATGTGGAATAATTACAATACATGTTTTAGTATTAATTACATTATTATTATCATTTATATTTATAAACAATGATGATATACCTGAACAAGTTCCTGCTAGATTTACTGGATATCCACAATGTCGTGTTGATGTTATTAAAGTAAATATCTTTATTATTATAATTTATATCAATTTTTTTTCCATAATATAATAATACAATTAATTAATTAATCATCCAAATTATTGTTATTAGATTAGAATCAAGAAAGATATGATGCATCATTATCATTTATGATAATTGTTACATTAATATCAAGTTACTACTCATACAAATGGGTAAACAATCAAAATATAACAGACAAAAAAATACATCACATATTTGTATCAAGAGAATGGAGTAGAATATCGTCAATCTACTATAATTAATTTTTAAGTTATTATTTGATTTTCACAGCATTGACAACCATCACATTGTTGATATTTGATATTGGCAAATTATGGTCAACATTTGGGATTTACATATTATTGGTAAGGTGATTGTTGTGTTACTGTTGTCACAAGGTGGTAAGATCTCTTCATATTGGTTTTATGGAATAGTTGGTGGCTATACTTTCCTTGTCGATGTTATAAATATTAGCTTGTCATGGCCTTATGATGCTATATGGTTTAAATGGTAAGGTAAATATGTTTATTATTTGAGAAAGGTGAGGGTGAGAATATACATATATTTTACTAAATACTAAAAAATATTTAATTTAATTTAAATTTGTTTTGTTTTATAGGTATTTGCTCAGATTTTGCAATGTTAATAGTATTCATACGTATTTATTTATCAACAAGTGAATATGTCAGGGAACAAACATCAGCTCAACTACCAATTATAGATGATGAGGATATGAATATGGAAAATTCATCATCAAAAATGAGGAAAATTCAATTGCATCAAAAATAATAAATCATCCTAACCAATTATTGTTATTGTGTTTGCCTCTTTTATTCATATACTTGGTAAATCTTGTGCATACATTTGATCCATTTGATGGTAGAAGGTAATTATTTATTTTTGTTGCTTTGTGATGGAAAAATAAAATTATTATGTGATTAGAAGATTAATTATTAGTTAATTCATTGACTCACTAATTCAATATTTATCCTATTTGCTCTCTTATTAATTATTAGGTATATTATGTTAAATCTAAGTTATGCTATAATATTCCCATGTATCACACTATACATTTATCTTGATACACATTGTACAAGTGTTTTGCAATCAAAAAGAATTCTATTAACTGACACTCCAGATTGGAAAGTTATTGTTATAACTATTATGTCTATTATTTTTGCTACTTTTATTATTAGAATTCCCTTTCTCATTTTAATTTAATACATAATAATTTGATAATTTAATATATTTAAATAAATTTTTATTTTATTTTATACTATATTAAAAAAATAAAAAATTATTCATCAACAATCAATTGTCAATGTTTCAACTTGATCTTCTAGTAATCCTTTAAATACTTTGAAATGATGATTCAATGAATTATGAGTATGTAATTTAAAACATGATCCTAAACCACCAGCAACTATACTTGACTTTCCATAAAAAACTCGTCCAATACGTGAGTGTAAAAGTGCCATTGAACACCTAAAATAACAATAATAAATATTGTAATCATTATAGCTATTATATTTATTGTTTATTGTTGTATGCAACTACTTACATTATACAAGGTTCATGGGTAACAAATAAGTCATATCCTTTACACAAATATGCTGCTACATCATTTGACAATTTCTCTGGTTTTGATACTACTACAACATCATCATCATCACCACCACCATCATCATTAATTTTTTCATTCACTAATCTCTTTTCCGACCTCTTCTCTTCAACACCATAAACACAATCAACATCAACACCAACAACATCAACATTATCATCAGTAATCTGTATTATTAGTTGCTGATCATCATCATCAATTTTTCTTTTTAATGTATTTTGGTGACCATAATCATGCTGAGTTGTAAATGTATTACAATTTTCTACAGATGTAACAACATCTAAACATTTAATAATTGCATGTTTAAGTGGATGTCTTGTGGTTGTTCTTGAATCATAACATTCTGCTAATATTCTTGAGCCTTTTGGATCTACTATTACACAACCAATTGGAATCTTTAAAATTGGGGAAATTATTAATTGATTTGGCTTGGAATTATGAATGCGCACAAAAATATTGTAATATCAATGTATTCAATATCAACATACCTCTTGATTTGATTTACCTAATTCAGCTAGTTCAATAGCTCTTTGCATATATCCTTTTAGTATTTTTATATCTTTATCTGTAAAATTATTTCTGCTATATTTGTTATTATGAACATAGATAGGTTAAGTTTATAAATTTTAGTAAGAAATATACATCATAATTATAAAATAAATAACAAACATCTCCTTCATTCCCCTTGCTATACCCACTTTTTAACATTCTCATGGTAATCAATTGGCCATAATTGTCTCCACTCATAAAATTGAGATTTAGTTATAGCAGGATATTTTGGAATTTGTTCAATTCTAGGAATTAATATTGAATCAAAATTATGTTTCTTGATCAATAGCAATAAGTCATCAATTGATGGTATGTCTTTAACTAAACATATCAATGCTGTTAATATATATTTATTATGATCCTCATCTTTATATTAATAGAAAAATTATAATTAGGGTTTATCTCTTATTTCAATGTTAGTGATTGTGTATGGTATGTAGGTACCTTCTTTACTTTTGTCATCTATGTTATTTAATGTTGTTCTTTTTATGCGTTTAATGTGATTTAAATTTTCATCATTTGGACAATGTTTTTTTATAAATCTAATCAATCAATCAATTAATTAATCAAATAAATAAATTTAATTTATTGGATATTTAAAAATAAAAAAATACTTTATAACATGATTTGTTTCCTCGGGCTTTATATCAGACACATAAACATCAACTTTTCAAATTTTAATTTTAAAAAAATAAATGAGTAAATCATTTGGGAACATTTTATATAAATATGATATGATATAATATATAGCATCTTTATTTGCCTGTTTCTAATCCTCTAGTTTCTTCATCTGATAACACAGGTTGAAAAATATTGATAAACTTCTTATTATCATCCATCATCACAATAAGTTTCGGGGAAGTTAAAAATTTTATTATTAGTCGAACGATTTGTCACATTAAACGATTGGGAAGTGTATTTTCCGAAATTTTTTGGTGATCAACGTCGAAAT